GAGTTGTTTCATACGAGATATTTCCCAGAATCTCTCATGAAGAAACCTCAAAAGGTACATGGGATATTCTGCAGCAAGAGTACGATGGTGATAAACAGGTTAGAAGTGTTAAATTGCAAGGTCTTCATAAGGAATTTGAATATACAAGAATGAGAGATGATGAATCACTTTTTGTTTATCTTACAAAATTATTTGATCTGATAAATCAAATGCGGAGTTATGGAGAGGAGTTATCTCAAGAGAGAGTTGTTCAAAAGTTATTGATTAGTTTGCCATCAGCTTATGATTCTATATGTTCTGTTATTGAGCATTCGAAGGATTTGGATGTGATTGAGGTACAAGAAGTAGTAGCCTCTTTGAAGAGTTTTGAGTTACGACTAGATAGACATTTTGAACACAAAACTGAGAAAGCATTTGCTAGTCTTAATGTGAATCCCAAACCAGCAAAATTCACTGGAAATCAAAGTGCAAAGTACCATAAGAATTGGAAGGCAAAAGGGAAGAAGTGGGATAACAAACCCACAGATGGTGCTAGAAATCCTTGTAAACATTGTGACAAGTTGCATTTTGGTGAGTGTCGATTCAAAGGTAAACCAAAGTGTTATAACTGTGATAAGTTTGGTCATCTTGCAAGGGAGTGCAATAACAAGAAACCAGTGCAACAGCTCAATTATGCAAATAAGGTAGAATTTACACCCACCATGTTTTATGCTAGTAATCAAACTAATACTAGTGTAAAGGGTTGTGATGATGTATGGTATGTAGATAGTGGGTGTAGTAATCATATGACTGGAATGGAGGATTTACTTGTGGATATTGATAAGAATGTAACTACAAAAGTTGAAATGGGTACTGGACAGCTTGTTGATGTAACTGGTAAAGGAAGTCTTGTAGTTGAAACTAAAATAGGCAAGAGATATATCAATGAGGTTATGCTTGTGCCTGGACTGAAAGAAAATTTGCTCAGTGTGGGTCAAATGATGGAGCACGGTTATTACTTGGTGTTTGGAGGTCACAAGGTGGAAATCTATGATGACAGTTCATATTCCAACATGGTTGCTAGAGTACCAATGAAGGGAATTTGAAGTTTTCCAATGAAATTACAGTCTGGAATACATATTGCTTTCAAGGAAAATGTATGTTTCTCTACTGCTATGTGGCATAAAAGATTGGGACACTTAAACATGAGCAGTTTGAAATTGATGCAGGAACAAGAAATGGTAGTAGGGTTACCAGAAATCAAAGTAGTTAAAGGAGTATGTGAAGGTTGTGTTCTTGGTAAACAATGTAGAGAAGCATTTCCAAGGGAAGCTACTACTAGAGCATCAATTCCTTTAGAGCTTGTGCATAGTGACATTTGTGGCCCAATGCTGACAACTATAAAAGCTAGAAATAGATATTTTCTCACTTTCATAAATGACTGCACCAGGATGTGTTGGGTTTATTTTTTAAGGCATAAATCTGAAGTTCTCAGTGTGTTTAAAAAGTTCAAAGCTACTGTGGAGTTGGAGAGTGGATATAAGCTAAAGCAGCTTAGGAGTGATCGAGGAGGTGAATACACCTCAATGGAGTTTAACAGGTTTGTTGAAGATGTAGGCATGGAAAGACAACTTACCACTCCATACACACCACAGCAAAATGGTGTGGCAGAGCGAAAGAACATATCCATTGTGGAAATGGCTAAGTGTCTCATGTTAGAGAAGGAAATTCCATTTGAATTTTGGGCTGAGGCAGTCAATACCTCAATGCATATCCTGAATAGATGTCCAACCAAAGCTTTAAATAAGAAAACACCTTTTGAAGCTTACAGTGGGAGAAAACCTGGAATTAAGCATCTAAAGGTGTTTGGTTCATTGTGTTATGCTCATGTGCCAAGTCAACAGAGACAAAAATTAGATTTGGCAAGCAAGAGGTGTATTTTCTTGGGGTATGGTAGTTGTGAGAAGGGATAGAGGCTCTATAACATTGAATCTGGAAAGGTAACTATTTCTAGAGATGTTGTGTTTGATGAAGAGGCATGTTGGGATTGGAATGCACAGAAGGAAAGAATGGTGAGTATCCAGATTACTGAGATGTCAGAAGGAGAACAAAGCTATGAAGGAAATGCTTGTGATTCTGAAACACAATGTGAAGCTAGTGAGGAGAATGTTGTGCCAAGCTCAGTTACTGAAATATGTGATCAAGAAAGAATGACAGGTCTACAGGATATTGATCACACTCCTCTCAAGTATAGAAGTATTGCAGAAATATATGAGAAGTGTAATCTGTGCATTATAGAACCAGAATGTTTTGAAAAAGCTGCCAAGGATGAATCATGGCAGAAGGCTATGGAAGATGAAATTTCTATGATTGAGAAGAACAATACTTGGGATCTTGTTGATAGACCATTTGATAAACCAATCATTGGAGTCAAAGGGGTTTATAAAACGAAATTAAATCTGGATGGTTCTGTGCAGAAAAACAAAGCAAGGTTGGTTGCAAAGGGTTATTCCAGAAGCCTGGAATCGATTTTAATGAAACTTTTGCACCAGTGGCAAGACTTGACACTGTGAGAACTTTGGTGGCCCTTGCTGCACAGAAAGGATGGAAATTATTTCAGTTAGATGTAAAGTCTGCATTTCTAAATGGAGTGCTGAATGAAGAGGTGTATGTGGATCAACCATCTGGTTTTGTTATACAAGGCAAGGAAGACAAAGTGTACAGGCTCAGGAAAGCTTTATATGGCTTGAAACAAGCTCCAAGAGCTTGGTATGAGAAATAAATTCCTATTTTTCAAAGGCTGGATTCCACAGAAGTCCGAGTGAAGCTACACTTTATATCAAGACATCTCACAATGGCATTCTCATTGTGTAACTATATGTAGATGATATTATCTACACAGGAAGTTCAAATGAGATGATGGCTAAGTTCAAAAGTGAGATGATGAGACAATATGAGATAACTGATCTAGGATTACTTCATCATTTCCTTGGTCTTGGAGTACTGCAGACAGATAATTACATTTTCTTGCATCAAAAGAAATATGCAAAAATTTTGCTTGAGAAATTTGGACTTAGGGATTGCAAGCCTGTTGCAACACCATTAGCTATGAATGAAAAGCTTTCAAAAATAGATGGAAGTGATCTGGCAGATGAGACTTTGTATAGGCAAATGGTGGGAAGTTTGCTATATTTGACAGCAAGAAGGCCAGATATCATGTTTGCAGCAAGCCTATTGGCTAGGTTTATGCACAATCCTACCAAGAAGAATATGGGGATAGCTAAGAGAGTTTTGAGATACATACAAGGCACTATGAACTATGAAGTTGTTTATGAGAATGGAAAATGAGTAGTGTTGGTTGGTTACTGTGATAGTAATTGGAGTGGAAGTGAAGATGACATGAGGAGTACATCTGGCTATGCATTTAATCTTGGTTCGGGTGTGTTCTCTTGGGCCTCAATCAAACAAAGCAGTGTTGCTCTTTCAACCGTAGAGGCAGAATACATCAGTGCAGCAGAAGCCACTACACAGGCCATTTGGCTAAGATTTGTACTCTTTGATTTCAGGGAAGAACAAGCAGAACCAACTCAGTTGTTGTGTGATAATACTTCAGCAATTGCAATATCAAAGAATCCAGTTCATCATCACAAAACCAGACACATTAATCGAAAATTTCATTTCATCTGAGATGCACTTCAAGATGGTGAGATTGATCTGGTATACTGCAAGACTGAAGAACAAGTTGCAGATATATTCACTAAAGCTTTGGCAAGGGATCGATTTGAATTTTTGAGGACAGCTTTGGGAGTGATTTCAGCACATCACTTAGAAAGGAGTGTTAGTTTATAAGTGTATATGCTGAAATGTAATAAGAAATCAGTTTTAAATGTCAGCCTTTGCATCATAGTCCAAGTGTGCAGCTAAGATGTAATCTTAGAGTAAGTGATAGTTTATGCCATGTGTCATTACCTTATAGGGTAAATGAATGAAGGGCTAGATTTAGCTGATGTGATGAAGGAATATTCTATTCCTAATTCCTTCATGTGCTCAGTGTGCATGTGAATGAAGAGATCATCTCAGTTTTGCTTCTTCTTCAAGCTCTAGCTTTCTCTCTCTAAAATTTCCACTTTCTGTCTCTTAAAACTCTTAATCTCCAGTATTCATAGATTGTTGATTGAAAGAAACTTACATACAAGATAATAGTCTGTATGCTAACAGGTAGGCCATATATATTTATTACTCTAGCCAAGATAAAAGAAGTTGTAGCTATCTTTCTCAAATTTCTGCAACTGAACAAGCTCTGAGTTGGGGATAAAAAGGCACATTTCAGTAGCTAAAGGAATCAAATTTGCTGCTGCCAAAAGCTGATTGAGACCTTGAAATCTGCTGCAACATGTATATAATTGTGGCACTACTTTCCTTTCCGTTTCATCAACCTTGAAAGAGAGAGCTAGCTAGGGAATACTCATGATGAGATGGTGTAAAGTGTAAGCGAAAAGTTTTGGAAATTAAAACCATAAGACGCTTACCTTGGCGTAGAAAGTTTGGTTTAAGCAAGTTGGGTTGAGCAGTATGCTTCACCATCTGCACCTAAGTTTGAATCCCCCTCTCCGTTGTCCAGAGTAGACTACAATATCGCTCTAATACTGTAATACTTCACCACTTTTATGTTTCTATTCCCAAAGTTGATAAAAATCTAAAAAAGAAAAAATGTTGAGAATCTTTTAAAAAGATATCTCTAATCCTCCTGAAAAAGCAGTCAAGGAAGAAACATCATTTTCTTTGGTTATAATTGCTTATAGAAGAACATCTTTTTACAAGGCCCTATCATGCAGCAAATTGCATATTTTAACCTATAAATATACTTTCGGAATACATATCTGCTCACTTTAAGAACCACTATAAATACAGAACTCCATCATGCAGATTGGCCTCACACCTCCTTGCTACCAACCAGCTTCTCCTTTAACTACATTTACTTTCTTCTCCGTCTTCTTCATATAGTCAATGACTCGATATTGGGTTAGGATTGGGTAATCTGCATCCTGAGGTTTAGATCAGCACACACGTATTTGTTGTATCTAGTCCTTGGGATGCAGATTACCTTGTCCTTGCCGCCAATGCAAGAAGACTTGTTAAGCTCATGAGTCATGAGGCTACTACTTAATGCATGTTTTTATTCTTTTATGTTCTTGGTCTTTTTGTGTATTTTCAGGTTATATTCCTTACAATATTGCTCAGATGATTCTTTTATGTTCTCTGCAATTGGACTGAGCAGGAGCTCCAAAACATCTATCATTTTACCCGCCGAGGTGCTTCTAGCTTACTGCAGAGGTAGGATTGCTGTGCTGATCAACTTTTCTGTTTGTGGCACGTATCAAATGATGGGATTTTTTGTGGAATGGGGTAATTTTCTAAACAGTAATTCTCTAATGAGAATAATAAGAACATGAACATTCTGTTATGTTTTTTAGAGAACTACTCCTTGCACCAAACAATTTTTTAGCTATTTGCAAACAATTTCAGTAACTTACAGATCTTGAAATTTTATGATATAACCATTTTCAAGTGATGGAGCATCCTTGAAGATTACGATTCAAACTATATACTATTGCCGGACGGAGAAATTTGCTGTATACTTTGTTGACAGGCTGCTTTGGAATTCTGTCAGGAGCTTTATAGGCAGCTGGTTTCCAAAAGCCTGTTTTTTTTCTCTCTCGGTTGCTATCGGACCGCAGATACAAGGATATAGACCGAACTGTCTCACGATGTTCTGAACCCAGCTCACGTGAGTGAGTGGCATGGCAAGAGGGCGAGTTCGAAGTTTGACAGTAATATTTTTTATCGATGTTGTAACTCTATATCGTTACAGGAAAACCTTGTTTTCCCTTGTTGAAGCTGCTTGGAGTGGTATCAAGAAACATGAGCAGAATCTCCCAGTGTGAAGTGCATACTTGACATTTATGACATCAAAACATGCTTAAACTATTGGTCATATCTACGGTCTGGACGAAAAGGAATCGCCGTCATAACAAATTTTCAATCAAATTTCTGTTAAGGTAACAGAACGGAATTATTTTCCTGATTAGTGCTCACAAATTGTATAATTCTTGTATCTTAGTTTGGTCTTAGGATTGAATTCAAATGAACAGGATGTTTTGGCTAATATAAAGTTTCTGAATCCATAAATTGAAAATAAATAAATAAACAAATAGAATGGCAACTGGCAAGGCATGATTGATTCGTCCTGTCGGCAGTAGCTGAACACTAAAATAGTTGAGGCATGAAACTGACCATTGTTGATTTGGATTTATGTGAAATTACCCTAGTTCAATAAGATTTGATTTCGTTCAAGAATCGAAAAGCAACTAGCATTTGCCGAGTTCCAACTTGTCTTGGTACTAGTTGACCTTATCACTTTCTGGGCTTTCAATCTGCAGTACTCCCAGCTTCTTCCCTGCTTAGAGTTTTTGCAATCCTTGAACACGAGGAACTCTTTCGTCTCTACATGGAGGCAAATGAAACTTCCACTAAAATGTGTGATGCTGGACCCAAAGTTTTTGCCCACCACACAGTGCCAGGCAGTGCCATAAGCTTCATCAACTTTCTGTTTAGCAGAACGAAGCGTTATAAGCTAGAATTCACAAATAATGTAGCAGATAAGGTAAAAACTCAGTTCTCTTAGCAAACTCGGTTCTCTTAGCAGAGTAAACCTTACATCCAACGGTGAAAGTGAATGTTAATGCAGTTGACTTTGGGTTTGCCACTTCAACTCACGAGGAAAACTTTGGTAGGTTGCCTGACTTTGACAGCTCTCACACCAGGTGTGACTATCGTGTGTAGTTAGAAGGGATTAAAATGTCGAAGACCACATATTTTTGTAAAAGCCACCAACAAATAACGTGGTCGGAGTTCCTTGATACATACTAACCGCACAATTGGGGAAGTGTAACAAAGTAGAAGGGGGAATATATGCTTTAGTATTCACAAGTGAGATTCAGTCTAAAGCAAAACCTTATACCCTATACAAACCAGAAAACAAATAGGAAAATAATAGCACACCAAACCTATAGCATCCCAAGACCTTTTTAATTAATTAACTTAACTAAAAACATTAAGCTTTTTCTCTTAACAGAAAGGAAGTGGTACCCCTTTAAAGATGCTATTTGGACCCAAAAGTGGTAGCTGAGATCGGCTACTTTTGAAAATATTATCCAAATATATTGTATTAAATTGGGGTTTAAGCTAAATCACTGCCATTACACCTTGCTGAAAAAGTTAGCGTTTGGATCCTAATTAATCTCGGTCGTCTTGTGACAATAATTTAATCACATAATTAGATGTGATGACAATCAAAAAACCACTTTTGCAATCCTTGTTTTCTGCTGTTGAAGAATAATATCTTACATAAACAAGAAGTAAAGATTATTTAATTTTGCGGTGCAGTCCTGTGCTTAAGAGCAATGGACTCATCCCTTCTGCACCCAAGTTCTCCTCTCCGTAGTTTGGTCTATATTAAATTAAAATATAACTCGAATAGACAAGTTTTTCGGATAAAAATAATTGAAGCTGTTTGATATAATGAGCAACGGATCGGAAATCAGAAACTTCATAGAGATCAAGAGCGTTGTAAGCCAACTCAATGGCATGGCTCTGCATGTCATCTGGCATATCTGTTTCCCGCACCTCAGCGTTTCCTTCCAGCATCTTTGTCAGCAATGGCAGTGAAGATATTTCTCTGCAGAAGCTTCTAACTATCAAATATATAGTGTAAACAGTAAAGAAAAAAAGGATTGGATTAAGTGGAGGAGGTTTAAAGTTCGTTGAAAATGATTAAGTTCGTTTTGCTCAATCACCTTTTATCACGTTAGTTTGTGAAGGATGAAAACCACCTATGTAGCATCCTACTTCGAGAATTTAAGTATTATATACGTCATTGGTGTAAGATCCCACATCACCTAGGGGTGAGGATTATGTAAGCCTTATATGTATATTTCTATCTCTACCTAGCACAAGGCCTTTTGGGAGCTCACTGGCTTCGGGTTCCATCGGAACTCCGAAGTTAAGCGAGTTCGCACGAGAACAATCTCATGATGGGTGACCCATTGGGAAGTTCTGCTCACGTGAGTTTCCAAAAACAAAACCGTGAGGGCGTGGTTGAGGCCCAAAGCGGACAATATCATGCTACGGCTGAGTCGAGCTCGGGATATGGTGTGAGCCTGGGCCAAGATGTGACAACTGGTTTTATCCAAGGTTTTAAAAAACGCTAGGCGCTAGTCGGGCGATGGGTTGGGGCCTAGCGCCTAGGCCGCTAGGCGGATTTAAGTAAATCTATTGTATTTCATGTAAATAAGTGTCTGTTTATCATGAAGTATTGGAACATAATAAAAATATGGGGAGCAAACATATAACGTGTGTTTATTTAAGTGTTAAATAAGTTTCTTACTGACATGTTTAAAAAAACTAGTGAAGACTCTTGAAATATAGTTAAAGTTTTGATCTCTATATATAAATCTTCCAAATAATTACACAATATATTATTTAATAGTGAAGTGGGTAATTGTTTTTATTATAATTTATAACTTATAAGCCCAATTAGTAATTACATAATATATTATTTAATAGTGAAGTGGGTAATTATTTTTATTATAATTTATAACTTGTGGAAATCAATTAGATAAGATAAGGGGAGTTGGTAGTGGAAATCAATCAGATAAGGGGACATTGGTTTTGACGCCTTGGAAATCAGGAGGCTTTTCCCATTTCCTCTTCCAATCCTCCTCTACTTCTTTGATTGCTCCGCCTATTTCTCCATCGTCTTCTCCGCCTAATTCCCCATCTTCTTGCGTTGCAAGATTGCCCAAAACCTAGTCTAGCGCAGCAAAGATCCTCGAAAACGTTACCGGCTTCGGTGAAGAAATCCGAAGAGTCCAGGTCAAATTTTTCGTTTTTCTTTTCAAGCAATTGCACTGTTTTTCCTTCTATTGGTCTCTCTCTCGCTTTCTTTTCCCTCACTCTCTCTCGCTCTCTCTGTCTCTTTCAGATTTTATGTTGTCGGCCTCTTCTTCTACGCTGTGTAGTGAAACACCGACGTGTAATTTTTTGACAGAACTGCCAAGTTCGCTGCCGAGACCGCCTAGCCCGCCCAGTCAGCCACCTAGACACCGCCTAATACCCTTGCCGATTTATTGAACGTTTTTGGAAAAATCGCGGCGGCGGTCCGACGTCCAGTGCCTAAGCGCCACTTAGGCGACCGCCTTAACTGCGTTTTAGAACACTGGTCTTATCCTTGTAAGAATTACCCATAATAACGAAGTCATACTATAATAGTGACCCAACATGAGCGTAGTAAATGGGTTGCATATGTAAACTCAAGAATCGAAAAGCCGGAATCCACTAGTTTAGAGAGAAAAGTTTAAAGGTTTTTATTTATTAATTAATGATCTTGAATAATGTTGATTACAATAGAAATCATCAGGTTTAAATACACTTAATTCGACCATTGGGAAGTTGAGAGGAGTCTTAGGAAATGTATAAGAAGTAAAACATACGTAATTGACCCAAATCTTATCCTACATTAGACTCCTCCACTTGAAAAGAACTCGTGTCATACCCCGATCCCGATATACGTTCAGAATCAACGCGTGACGTCACCAACTATCCGTAAATCTAACATACATCGCCTTTGGGATATGTACAAAGCATAGCTCAAGATTCGAATCTCATAGTATTTTGCGTACACTTTATGGCTGCATCTAACCTCCTCGTTAAATTGCATACGTACCCTCAATAGGGATCAAGTCATTCATAGTTCACCTTACACTACACTCGAACAATCATCACATAATTTACTTTATTTTCAACATGATACCTCCATCCATCGCATGTAACATATCAAATAACCAACGAGGCACTGTATTATTCTCAAGCCACATTGATCAACCAAAAGAATCATAATAATAACAATCATATCCAACGTCATTCCACAATCCTATCAATTAATCAATTCATGTATCAAAGATGCACAATTTTGACTTTTAACTATGTTAGTCCATCAATGAGATAACATATCATTTCATGAATTTAATTAAAGAGCTATATATAATTCCCTACTTG